GAGGCGATCTGGTGCATTGTCGTCACCGACGCCGGCCGTCTGTGGTGTGAACAGCGTCTCCTCACGGATGCGGGTGTGAGCAGGTGCATGATCGTCACCTTCACGACGGTGGGTTACGGCGACGTCTCGCCCGAGAGCCACCTCGGCAAGGTTGTCTGCTCGCTGGCCATCATCACGGGCATCATCCTGCTCGCGATGCCGCTCGCCATCGTCGGCAACAACTTCTCGATGGCCTGGGAGGAGCGCGAGATGATGCAGTTCGTGCTGCAGGTGCAGCGGCGAGACTACCCCTAGAGCGCACCCGAGACCACCGAGCAACGGACGAATGTACCCGAGCTGGCCTGCTGCAGGTGCAGCGCAAGTGCATCGACCGCAACATCTCGCTCGCGGGCATTCAGGTGCTGTTCGAGGAGGCGGACACGCACGGCTCGGGCTACCTCGACTACCTCGAGTTCCGCCGCTTTTGCGAGGACCTCGGCCTGGATCACTCACCCTCTGAGGCGAGCGAGGCTGGCCTCACGCACACTGGCCCCGATCTCCGCCGCTCTCGACCCGACGTCGCATTCGCCCTCTCGCCTCCACCGCCCCTCTCGCCTCCACCGCCCCTCTCGCCTCCACCTCCCCTCTCGCCTCCACCGCCCCTCTCGCCCCCACCGCCCCTCACCTCCACCGTCCCTCGCAGGCACGCCGCCTCTTCCGCCTGCTCGATGAGAGCCGCTCGGGCGGCATCACCTTCTTCGAGTACTGCCACCATATCTTCCCCGACCTCGACGTCGAGTGGCTCGCGGAGCACGGTGTGCTCAGCCTCGGCGCCGCCGGCAGCCGCGCGCCGCCCACCGGCAGCCGCCTCGCCACGCCGGAGCGGCGCCGCCTGCGCTCGTCGGACCGCGAATTCCACCGGGAGCAGATCCGGTGGAACGACAAGGCAGAACTGCGGCACTCGGGACGGAGCGCCGCCGGCGGTCTCGGCCCTCCGGCGGCGCACAAGCGGTGCATCGGCGTCTTCAAGCAGGCCTCGCGCTCCGAGGCGCTCGCGCCCGGCCGGCTGCTGGTCCGGGCCCCGCCGCGTGCGAGCCAGACCACGCCGTGCCTTCCAAGGATACCTCCGACCCCCGCCGCGCCCGCCGTCACGGTGGTGCGCTCCAGCACCTTCAGCTCGCTGCACGGCGCCCCGGCGCCGACGCATTCGACGGTGAGCGCCATCTCGGAGACTGCAGAGGAGGGGGCGGCACAGCCGCCCGTGCGAGGCGAGGCGCTGTCGAGGGTCGCCGCTGCCGCGGCGCTCGACCCGCCGCCATTGCGACCCTCGTCCTCGGATGGCGACGTGATGGCGCTGCTCGCACAGGTCAGGGAGAGCCAGGCCTGCCTCGCGCGGGGCGTGGCGCTGCTCGAGGCGCGACTCGCGGCGCAGCCGGCCGAGGGGCCGCGGGCGAGCAGCGCGTGCTCCTATCACTGCTCGGGCGCGAGCCGCAGCGACAGCGAGGAGGAGCTGCTCCACTTTGCTGCCACTATCGAGGCACGCGGCGGGAGCTGACACTTTCGTGACAGTGCGCCGGGAGAGCGGGCGACTCTGGTGCGGGTGTGCGTGTGCACTCTCGTTTTCTGGGTTCGAGGCGCTGGGCTCGCATCGATGGAGGTCTGCAGCTTCTTCGGGCGCACCCGCGCAGAGGCGCTCGAGCGTCGAGGTGGAGATCGCGCGCCGGTCGCTGGGACACGTGTTGCACTGCAGTGTGCATCTCTCGCCTCTGCCCACCACGCGACTAGGCGCGTGTGGTTGCTGGGAGAGACGGCCCCGGCCTGGCGTGGGTTGTTTGCATGGGCAGAAAAGAAGCAAAACGCAGTGTGCACACGTCCACGCAATTTTGTGCATTTTAAGTTACATTCCTTGATATCTAGTCACCGAGGATTGAGTCATGCACACAGTGAGCTGGATCCTGCTGAGACACCTCGCGCGTGGCACACTCGGGTCACGTGCTGTCGTGCACTAGTGCCACACGCAGCATCGGTGGTCCGGATCGTGAGCCGGTCCCCCACCCAAAGCCTTCACGCACAGCCTTTCTTCTTTCTGCCTTGCGCTGCTTTCACCTGCCTGCCTGCCTCGCGTCGACGCAGTCGCGCAGCTCGCCGAGCGCGCGGCAGCCCATGCCTCCGCAGGCTCAGTAGTCCGCACGCGAAAACCCTTTCTCATCGCCAACTCAAGGAACGGAGAGAGCACGAACCATTACCAGTCTGACACTCACTCTGCGGCCGCTGCATCGATGATCTCCCCCGCTCGTTGTGATTCGGGATAGACAGCCTGTACGTTCGAGTCGAACCGCGAGAAGGCAAAGTGAGTCGCGTGCGCCATTGCAACCTCGTAAGCTGAGGCCTCGCCCTCGATGGCCCCTTCGGCCATAGCCGAGGTCGTAAAGTCGCCCGCGTCAGGATAGTGATCGACGGAGCCGTTGCGTGGTTCCCGATGGGCGAAGGACTGCCCGATGATGCCGTGCGGAGAATAGCGGGCTGCCGCGTCGCCCTTCGCATTGATCTCCAGGTCCAAGCGGTGGTGCGGGCCGTAGAGACGGTTGTACACGTGGTTTCCAAGCGCAGTGAAGGTCCAATTTCCGACCTCAAACGTGGCGCTAGACATCCGCACCTCCATCTCGAGCTCCTCGCACTTGCGAAAGCCGCCCCGCCCCAGCTTGAAGGCGTGGCCGCCACAAGTGCCGCTCACTATTCGCCACCCCCAGTTGTCGCGATTCAGCTCGGAGGCCCAGAAGGAAGCGTTTGCCCACTTGCGCTTGTAGCCGCCGACGCGTGCGACCAAGTGCATCTCCGTGAGGAAGCTGCCATGGACCGTCAAGCGCCCGTCGTGCAGCGTGAAGGTCGCATTTTCCGTCTTCACGTTGACGGCCAAGCCCGGCGCCGAGAAGAAGTTATACAGCACGCCATGACGGCCGCGAAAGTCGGCGCGGCCTCCGTGCGCTAAAAAGAGGTGCGGGTCCTCCTTCGCTTCTCCCGAGGTTGTTGTTCGCGGCTCGTTCGAAGGATTTGCGCAATCCCACTCGCAGCAGGCTCCCTCGACGGACACGAGGGTCTCACCATCGCCACAAAAGTCCTTCCCCGGCTGCATACAGGCCATGCACGCACACGCGCCCTGGCCGGGCCCCGCGTCCCAAAAGCAGCAGACATCCGACTCGCAGCACTCTTGGACGGTGCGGCCTAGTGCATCATTGGGCATCACGCACTGCTTTGGGCCGCCGCCACGCGGTGTGGTGCACGTTGCTCCCTCGTTGACCTCGCAGCAGTCGCGGTCAACAGCACAGCTGTCCGCCGGCACTGGCTTGCAACCCACCGTGTCTGGATGCCTGCCACAGTACTCTGCCTGAGTCACGCCTTCGACGCACGCCATACACTCCGCTGTCATGGCTCGGCAGCACAGTCTGGGCTCCGGTTGGCAGTCGCAGAGGGGGCAGCCGTTTGAGTCCAGGACGTTGCCGTGCTCGCAGAATATCTCGCAGACCGGCGGGCACTGCAAGCTTCGCAGGAAGGACACGACGGTGGAATACGTCTCATCGGAGGGGATAGGAAGGTGATGCCCTGCGATCTCGCTGACGACAACGGTGGGGTAGTTGAAGTTGGCTGCAGCTGCCCGTGACATCTCGTTCGTGATGATGGTGTCACCTTCGCCCATGAAGATGAGCGCGGGGGTCCACCCATAAGGCGCACCTTGCGCGTCCACAGATTCCATGAGTCCCAGGTGGTTCGTCGGCTCGTAGCCGCAAAAGAGGGCGACGAACCTAAAGGTCTCCTGTGGTGCCTGCGAGAGGTAGAAAAGGGCGAAGGCCGCTCCTTGGGAATAGCCGAGCAGGCCGGCAAAGGGGCCCTGGCTGTCGACGACCTGGTCAATGAGGCTGACGGATGCCGACGCCCAGTTCGGGTCTGAGGTGGTGCCGATAGTCCACTCCCCAGACTCAGAGGAAAAGGTCTTCCCGTCTGGCGCGTCTGGAATCCACGTGCCGTCCTGCGGCGCATTGACGAAGACAAAATCGAACTCGCTCTCCAGGTCGGCTGCGATGGCCGCCATGCCCGCCTGCAGCTGGAAATTGGCGGCGCTTCCTCCTCCACCGTGAAGACACAGGATCTTGGGCCGCGGGGATGGGCAACCCACTGTGTCGGGGTGATCCTGGCAGTACTCGCCCACGCTGACGCCAGAGGCGCAAGCCAGGCAACTGGCAGTCATGGCGAGGCAGCAGAATACGGGGTCAAAGTCGGCAGCTGGGGAGGGAGGTGGCGGCTGGAACGGTGCCAGCTTTGGACCAGAGTCGTCCTTCGATCCCCAATCGCCCTCTTTTGAGCCCCAATCGTCAGCCTTTGAGCCCCAATCGCCCTTTTCGGAGCCCCAGTCCCAGTCTTCCTTGGCGTCAACGATGGCGAACTCGGTCAGATGCGTCGCTTTGCACTCGACGCAACCGTCCAGGTCCTTTGGCCACTTCGTCTTGACGCCCTTCGCGCTCCACTCCGCGCCTTCGATGTCCCAAAAGCGGCAGGACAGCTTAGTGCCGGCGTAGGCGAGGTCGACGCAAAACGTGATTGTGATCTCCTCGTCTGATGTCAGATTGGACAAGGCGAGTGGCTCGCCGTCGTCCACAAAGGCCAGGCCGGAGACAACCGAGACAACCGACACATTGTCCTCTGCCCACGGTGGGTCGCGGCTCTCCCAAACCACGATTCCTGAGGCTCTCATTGTCGGTATAGTGGTAAACAAACTTGGGTTCTTTGCCGTACCTCGTCTTGGCATATGCAAACGGGTTCTTCACCTCGTTCTGCAGCTGCGAGAAGCACGGCTGACCCGAGCGGACGTATTTATCCAAGTCGCGGATGAGATCGCCGTCTCGAGTGAAGAGGCCCTTGTAGCCCGGCAGGTAGGAGGCTGGCAGCGCAGCGAATAGCCACGTCGCGAGCATTCCGTCGATGGCACTCTGTGCGGTTGTTGGGAAAATGTGAAAACAAAAAAATCGAAATTTCCTACCCGGAAATGTGTGTCGCAAAAAATACAAGAAAACGCGAGCAGCGGGAATTCTTTTTCTCGCGATGTCTGCCCCGCCGCGCCGCTCGCGCCGCTCGCGCCGCCTCGCCTCCGCCTCCACCTCCGCTCCCTCGCCAGACACGCCGCCGCCCACCCGCCTCCTCGACCTCCCCACGGAGCTCCTCGTCCGCGCCCTCTCTCACTTCTACAGCCCCGCCGACATCGCTCGCGTCGCGGCCGTCTCGCTTCTCTTCCACGCCTCGCTTGCGGTGGAGGGAATCCGCCTTTGGGCGCAAGAGCGCGGCTACGAGCTGCCTGCGCAGCCAGAGGGCGAGAGCTGCGCCGTGCGGTGGCTGTGCTTCGCTGCGCTGCTGTGCGAGTCCAACCCGCCCGCGAGGCTGGCGGCAGGCGCACGGCACAGCATCTTCATCGACGGCGAGGGGCGGCTCTCGTCGTGCGGCAATGGAGGATGGCGCCGCTTGTCAGCGGAGGACGAGGAGGGCGAGGAGGACGAGGAGGACGAAGAGGTGGAGCTGCCAGGCCCTCTCGGCCACGGCGATCCAGGCCTTCTCGGCCACGGCGAGGGCGTGCTGCAGCTGAAGACGCCAACCCGTCTCCCGTCGCTCCTCGGAGGCGAGCGCGCGGTTGGTGTGGCGACGTCAGGACTTTTCAGCCTCGCTCTCTCCGCGGACGGCGCCCTTTGGTCTTGGGGCTGCGGCTGGCAGGGCCAGCTGGGACACGGCGACGAGGAGCACCAGTGGCAGCCGAAGAAGATCGAGGCCTTTGCTGGGCGGCGCGTCGTCGCTGTGTCGGCTGGAGGCGTGCACAGCCTCGCCATCACCGCCGACGGCAGCGTCTGCAGCTGGGGCGATGCAGACTCGGGCGAGTTGGGCCACGGCGACACGCAGAACCATCTGCTGCCCAAGAAGATCGAGGCCTTTGCTGGGCGGCGTGTCGTCGCTGTCTCGGCTGGAGGTCAGCACAGCCTCGCCCTCACCGCTGACGGCGCCGCTTGGAGCTGGGGCTGGGGAGCCTTTGGCAAGCTGGGCCACGGCGACGAGCAGCACCAGCTGCTGCCCAAGAAGATCGAGGCCTTCGCTGATCAGCGGGCCGTCGCCGTGTCGGCGGGAGCAGACCATAGCATCGCCCTCACCGCCGACGGCAGCGTCTGGAGCTGGGGCTGGGGACCCTATGGCCAGCTGGGCCACGGCGACGAGCAGTACCAGCTGCTGCCGAAGAAGGTCGAGGCCTTCGCTGGCCAGCGCGTCGTGGCTGTGTCGGCTGGAGATCGCCACAGCATGGCAATCACCGCCGATGGCGCCGTCTGGAGCTGGGGCATGGGGCGTTGTGGCCAGCTGGGCCACGGCAATCAGCTGAACCAGTCGCTGCCGAAGAAGGTGGAGGCATTTGCGGGGCGGCGCGTCGCGGCTGTATCGGCAGGGGAAGTCCACAGCCTCACCCTCACCGCCGATGGCGCTGTGTGGAGCTGTGGCGAGGGCGAAGACGCCCGCCTAGGCCACGGAGAGGACCTGTTGAACCAGCTGCTGCCGAAGAAGATCGAGGTGTGGTCGCGGGAGTGAGAAGGGGGGAGGGTGGAGGAAGGGGGGGGGGTTGAAGTCCAGCCGACAGGTCGAGGACGACGCACGACGGACATTTGAAGCATGTCGCACGAGATCTGAGTGTTCTTTCCCGTTTCCGCTGAAGCCAGTTCTGAAGCTTCGCTCGCGCCACGGTGTGCAGAGCACAGTTTTAATAATGTTCATTGTTTCGGAAGGAACGCTTTGAGTTCTTGCCCACCCCCTCCGATGACCGCCAGGCAGGAGAGAGAGAGAGAGAGAGAGAGCGAGGAGAGAGGCTAGTTCCATTTCACTGTGGCACAGCTCGCGTTACAAAACCTTGATTTTGACCATTGCGCGAAAAAGGTACATCTCGGTGCCTTCCAGAGGCAGCTGCGACCCCGCCGA